CGAAATAGGTACCCAACCTCTTTGGTGAACTCTTCCATCACAATAGTTCGGACGAAAATTATAATGCAACGTTTCTTAATAACAACATTTACATTAGTAACCAACACTATACATCCTGCATTAACCCCRATCTAGACGAGCAGAAAAATCTCAACTCTCCAATCCAACTAGCTKAAATGATCAGAGCTACATCAAAATGCACTAGTCTCGCTCCAGGTCCAGATGGGATAACGTATTGCTTCATTCATAACCTACCCACTTCCGCCCTGGATTCAATCGTCATGGTATTCAACAAAATTTGGTCATCCGGAGCAATAACTAAAAAATGGAAACACTCTATAGTCATTCCGATACTAAGTCTTAAACCAAACAAAAACAAATTCGAAACCAATATCACTCCTCAATACCATGGTTAAGGTATTGGAAAAAATCATCGACTCCTGACTTAGATGGTTTCTTGAAAAAAACAATTTGCTCGATCCTCGCCAGAACGGCTTTCGAAGACATAGAAATACAAGCAACACACTACATGATATACAAGCGGAAATCCATTCTACTCTCGAAACGAAACAAGTGATGGGCCTCATAGCCCTTGACATATCCAAAGCTTACGATACTGCTTGGCGTCCTCGCATATTAAAAATACTGTCAAATATCATATCTATTGACAAATTATTCRATTTCATACAGAATTTCCTGACCGACAGAACCTTTCAAGTTAGGTGCAACGACAAACCGTCMAAATTATACACACAATATAACCTCCCTAGAAGATACCCATTTCCCTCACCCAGACGTTATTAAAAACGAAATCTCTCTGATGGCCCCTTGGCTATTCAACAACTATGAAAACAGTGAACTTAGCGAACTCTCTAAGAATGATACCCCGCCAATAATCTTTAACCRACACCTACAATCAATCACTTCCGATCTCGGCGACCACACTGAAATATACATCGATGGGTCCAAAACGGATAACGGAGTTGGTGCTGCAGTAGTATTTTAAGACCTTGCTGAGACTCCCCCAATTTCTACTCAATATACTCAGCGGAGGCAACGGCAATTTCTTACGCCCTAGACCTCATCAAAATTAGACGCATACTCAAAGCAGCTATACTAAGCGACTCGCTAAGTTCTTTAAGGAGCATCGA